CCGGTCTGGAATCCTCCTGCGCCGGTCGCGCGGTCGATGGCACCGGCGGTGCCTCTTCATCTGAATCGTCCTATGACTTAGAGACTTAGAAATATGGTCGTGGCAGGATCAGCGATACGGTTAGCACTCCTTAACGCAACTGGCGACATCAGTAGTCATGGGAATCAGAACGTTCTGAACAGTAAGCAGGATTGCTTGGGCAAGCTTGAAGGATACTGAGATCGGCAAACACAACCCTGCAACAGCATTTACAATGTTGCTCGTACAAGTATAATACCAATCACAACGGTGATAGCAGAGGAGACGGAACAAACAAGAGATCCTAAACCGTGAACCCTGGGCCGAAATCGGAAACCGTGAGTTCCAAATTCAAAGCCGGCACCTGAACCCCTAACCATAAAGCCTAAACCCTGAACACGGAACCCTAAAATCACCACTCTAAATCCGAAAATTCCCTTACTGCAGCCTCTGTGGCAGCAGCCCGCTCCCGCGAAGCTTCGGCGCCGCTTCCGAAGTTGCTCCTGAAACGATTGGAGTTTTGTGGGTTAGGGATTAAAGTTGAGGGTTGAGGGTTTAGGGTTTAGGGTTAGGGTAAGGGATTAGAGTGTTAGAGTTGAGGGTTGAGAGTTGAGGAGTCAAGGCTTAGTAGGGTGTAAGGCTCAAGGTCAGTTGGGAGGGGTTCGGAGTTCGGAGGTTCGAATTGGGTCGTTGAGACGTAGAGAAACAAGAAAGATCTGTTGTAACACCTCAGCCATTGGGGATGTCATGTGGGTTTGGGGCTCCGGGCTCAAAGATTCACTATTATCAGCGTCTTGGTCTCGAGGACTCACAACATGAGGCCAACTTTGAACCTGCCCTAAACCACACATGCCCTAAACTCCTAAACCCAAAACTCTCAACCATGCGGCCCTTGAAAATCCCCGCAGGCCAGCCCGACGCGAGAGGATGAAGCTTGCAAGCAGCCTTTGAGCCGCAATGCTCCCAAAAAGCAGTCTTCGCCCGAAACCCTGGATCCCATCCGTACAGTTAGGTTCCAGGACTCGGAGAATACCCGCTTCAGACCTATGGGTGCTCCGGGGTTGACCCTAGAAATGGAGAAATCCCTTTCCAACACCAAGCCTCTGAGCCCTAAGCTTAACCCAGAACTTGAGCTTAAAAATACGGGCCCAACAACAACGCTAGGCAGAGAGAGATGGATAGAAAGACAAAGCGACAGAGAGAGAAAGAGAAAGGGAAAGGGAGAGGAAAAGGGAGAGGGAGAGGGAGAGGCAGAGGGAGAGAGGGAGAGAGGGAGGGATATATATATATATACATATATATATGTATATATACATATATGTTTACACATCTAATATATATATATATATATGTATGTATGTATACGTATATGCATGTATACACAGAAAAAGAGCTAGCAGAGACAGACATGGACTTGGATATGATTTGGAGACAGATAAGGCCACAGAGACATGTCCCCATTCTAGATTCAGAGACGTCTTATAGCATGCTAGATTAGATTCAGATCAAAAAGCTTGTTTCGGAACAACATCACACTATGTCATACAGAAGCACAGTTTTGTTTGTACATGCGATACAGTGTACAAATTATTATGCGAGCCCAACAATTGCTACCACTGCTATATCACCATCACGACGATTTCTATGACTGTCAAAGCTCCCGTTATTCTCATGTTTTTTGTGTCATTACTGCTGAGGTTCCTCTGACTATCTGGCATTTCCACTAGCCTCCCTACTACCCTGATTATCCCTGATTTGTATTGTGCATGATGTCCCTGAGGCAGCCGCTGGCCTTAGCAGAGCTTTCACCTCCTGCACGTCGCTGCGCAGGGCTGAAATCTCTTGCCTGCTCTTGGGCTGGAGGGTCCCGGTAGGGCCGGTAGGAGCTGAGGACTCAGGGTCCTGTGAAGATCTCCAGGGACGATGATGGGCGAGTGGTGGGGGTCAAGGCTTGGCGCTGGGCACTGGACGGAAACGTAGGCATGCTACGTTCCCAGCTCTTAGAAGAGTAGTCTGGCTAATTCCCGTTAAAGAACAAGACCTTCACCTACTAGTTTCATGTAGACTCGGTGGTTACATCTGCAACTTCTTAGAGAAACTTTTTGCGTCTAATGCAAGGACGTTTGAGGCAAGAACAACTCTGTGATGCCCTTATGCAGCAACTAAGCTGATGCTTCGCTGCTCGCCACGCTGCATGAGTTTGGCTTGAATGCATGCTTCTCTGGCACACTAGATGCTCCCATTGTTGTTGCATTATGCTGCATGAATGAACACTAGTGGGCAAGTGAGTACAGATGGTTGGTGCAAGCAGCACAGCACACGTGCCCTCAGATGCACCGGTGCACGAGCACTCATGTGCAAGTGCAAGTGGGTGCAGGCTTGAGTGGCTGTAACTTCGTAGGTATGACTACGACGTTGGGCTACCCAAGTCGAATTCGGATGCAGAAGCTACCAAAAAAAAACTACTCTGTCATTCAACCCTTAAATCAGCCAGAACGTGTTCCGAGTAACCCAAGGACACCTACTTGTTTGGGACTTGGACAGAGCAGGAGCCACTTCGTACCTTTCATCGGGGCCGGCCCATTGCTCTGGTGGCTACATGGCAATTATCATCGAGTGAGGTGTTTGCCTCAACCGCTTGGTCTCCTTCTGCACGGCGGCAAACATCGCCTGGGCTGGATCCTGGCGCTTTACTGCCTTCAACACCCAAAACCCGAAAAGTTGGGGCAAGACTGCATGGTTTCAAGAGGCCTTAGGCTACTGCTGTTACATGTCTTTTTAGGGCGAAGACTATCATTGCTGCTTCTGTCTGTCGAAAGCCGAAGACCTTATTCTTGCTGACCTTCTGGTGCACATGTTGAGAAATGTTGCTGCCATGATGTATGGTTTGGTCTCACATATCTTGTTGCGACTATTGTTACTATGGTTGCTGCTGCTGGTGGTGGTGGTGGTGAGTAGCAGTAGCAGTAGCAGCAGTAGTAGTAGTAGTAGTAGTATCGTAGTGTAGTAGTATCGTAGTGTAGTAGTATAGTAGTACAGTAGTATAGTAGTATAGTAGTATAGTAGTATAGTAGTATAGTATAGTAGTATAGTATAGTAGTATAGTAGTATAGTAGTATGGTAGTAAAGTAGTATAGTAGTATAGCAGCAGCAGCAGCAGCAGCAGCAGCAGCAGCAGCAGCAGCAGCACCAGCTGTGGTAGGAGGAGGAGAATGCGGAGGAGGAGGAGGAGGAGGAGGAGGAAGCAGGAGCAGGAGCAGGAGTATATACGTAGGAGTAGGAGTAGCAGAGGAAGAAAGGAAGTGGCAGTAGCAATAGTAGAACGTGGCAATGGTGTAGCATGATTTAGTAGTAGTAATAGTTGCACTAACCGACATCCAAATCACCGATCGCAAAAGCCCGGCGTCTTAGAGAGGGAACCGTATTGTATGTTGACACGGTTCCTTAGCCTGGGCGAGAATAGGACGGATACTCACAAGAGCAGCAATAACAACATCAAGACAAAGAAGAAGAAGAAGAACAAGAACAATACCAAGAACAATAAGACGAATAGTGTGAAGAAGAAGAAGAAGAACAAGATGATGAAGCAGAAGAAGAAGAACAAAGAAACAAGAATCAGAACAAGAACTAGAAACAATAGATAATGATATCCACAACTTTAAACACAATGGCAGAGCAACAAGAACCAAAAAAAACTTAACCTGTTAATGAAAATGACAATGCCAACGACACCAATAAGAGAGCAAAAAAGAAATAACAACCGACCATTAAGTACCGATGGCAAGTAGAATTGCCGTAAGAGAAAACGTCTTACGTTGAGCAGCAATGCGTGTCGTCCTCTGCTTTGCTGGTCCGCTTTGGTTCAGCGACGACCTGCTTTCGGGCGTGAGGTTTAGTTCTGCGGATCTGGAGCTTTTGGCTTTAGAAAGTAGTGGATGGGCTTAGGATGTAGAGCTTGAGGGTTCAGGGTGTGGGCGCAGATTGAAGTTTGGAACATGCGGTTCAGGAATTGTGGAACTCGCGGCCGAGGATTTAGCGTTCTGGTTGCACGGCTTTGGGGCCTTTGGAGCATGTACCGCTGCATCGAGAGAGCCGCCTAAATGCCTTGGGTTCTGATCCCAATAGAAAGCAGGTGCTTGATACGAGGTCTTGTACCACGTTGAGCGTACAAGAAGCGGCTCCGAGACTGGAGGACCAAAATGCTGCTGCACTATTGCGAGTGCAAGCACTGCTCCTGTAGTGGGTACAGTTAAGTCAAACATCTGCCTTCAACAATTTTCTCAATGCAGGCGAATATAACGAAAGAGCTCCATGGACACAGCTTCAGGCATGATGAGACCATTAGCGCAGCATTTATTGATCGCTTCGTTGACCGAAGAATGGCTAGTTCAACGGTGTGTCTTTCCCCTGGCCTACGCCTAGAAACCAATCATCATGGTCGCACCAAGCAGTCACAGCAACGGCAGCAGCAGTAGCACAAGCACCATCACCTGCAATAGCAGCAGCAGTACCAAGTAGCATTATCAGCAGATGCAGCTCAAGTAGCACTGCCAGAAGTAGCAGGAGCAGCAGCAGCAGTAGCAGCATTAGCGGCAGCAGTAGTGGCAGCAGTAGCAGTGGCAGCAGTAGCAGTAGCAGTACAAGTAGCAGCTGCAGTTGAAAATGCAATTGCAGCAGCTACAGTAGCAGTAGCGGTAGTTACAAGTGCTAGAGCAAGAAGTAGCAGCAGCGCCACAAACCAGCAGATACCAGCAGTAGCAAATATTTTTTTATTATGAATAACAGTCATCATCATCGTAGTCATAGTCATGAAGCGATACTAAAAATAGCAGTGGCAGCTGTTGTTCTTGTAGTTGCAGTATTGGTTGTACGAAACGTGCAAAGGCAGCGCAGTCGTTGCCGTTGCTGCTGATGTGGTTGTAGATGTAGCTGTAGTTGTACTGGTAGCGGTAGTTGTTGTTGCTGTTGTTGCAATTACGCGACTACAAGCGCATTACAAACACTACCAAGAGGATTGCAGGCCCCCGCACCTCATCAGGCTCTACCTCCACTGTGCCTTGGCTGCAAGGCTCACGGCTCGGCCAGACTTCACAGCTCTGGGATTTCAGGTTTCGGAGTCCATGGTCCCCGAGCTCGAGAAACACATCGGGTGTGTTTGGTGCCCAGGAACCTTCGGGCTTCGCAGCAACACTGTCCACGACCACTTCTGCAAGCGAGGCCGTGGTCGTGCCAGGCAGCGATGCGGATACCGCGGCACCATCCGGAGGGACCTCGGTACAGGAGGCAATGCGGAGCTGCCGGGGTCTTCCTATTCTTGCCACGGGCTCTCACAGCAGCATCAGAGAAGGTCGGATCATCTCCCGTCCGCAATACCGTGCGCATGAAAAGTGGAAGTTATAACCGGGTGAAGAGGGAAGGAGGCATGTATCCGCATGCAATGCAGGTCCCATGTGAAGGCCCGACTTCTGTCTACATGCTCCTCCTGGTCCCTGAAATTCCTTGCAAGGGCACTGCACCCCTCGCTGTGAGCCAGATGCCGCCAAACATTGTCAGCAGCAGCAAGATCCCGAAGAGGCCGAATGCGACTTTGGGCCTCGATGATCAAAATGCATGTCGGAAACATCAATGCCTACATAGATTTGTGGCATGTAAACAAAAAGAAACATGTTGCAGGGATGGACAAAAACGTGGTTGGCAAAAACTTTCTGGCCCATGCTCGAATCGAAACCCCTCAGCACTGAAGCCGTCCAGCAGCCTCTCCCGGGCTTGCTGCCGAAGCCAGTCAGCCATGCTTTTACACAGCTCCTTGGGCGGCAGATGGGTTCAGTGTAGATCGCATCATTGCTTCAGTGTTGCCATGATAACACAGCAATAGCAGCAGTACCAGCAGCCACAGTCGCAGCAGCACCAGCAGCAGCAACAAGAGCAGCCCAGCCATAGCATAGACAGAAGCAGCAACAGCAGGCAGCACGAGCAGCAGTGGCAGCTACCACTGATCGCGCGGGCGTCTCCAGTCCGCTCACGCAGCTGCTGTGACCACATCGGCACGGAGCCAGTACCCCGTATCCTGGCGCTTCAAGGACCACACGCGTTCTGCCTTGATTGGCGCTCACGGCAAGCTTGAAAAATCGTGTCCCATGAAACCTCTACCCTGATAAAGCTTCAGCCTATCGGAATCTGCTGTTGCTTTGCTCTGAAACAACACCCGCCCTGGCTTCAATGGCAAAGGGCAGAAAATTGAAATTCCGCGGCTTGGGACGTAGCATTGGCACTCCTTCCATCTCCCTCCCACTTCTCCACTGCAACAACCTTCGACCCCGTATTCGAGTCCAAGCTAGATCGCATAAATGCTCGAAGCCCAAAGCCGTAGTCCTAGACTTTAAAAAACCGTTTAAAGGAAGTGACCTGAAGCAGAAAGCTCTGTCCTCCGCTTCAGTTCCTCCGGGTCAACGACGTCGATGCCCGTGGCCGTGGCCGTAACTTCCATGTACCAGAGGCGAGGCTGCATGACAATCCACACAGGTGATGCTACTTACGGATGACGAAACAGACCCAGACAGTCAACATGTGATAACAACAGGCAGGCGGAATATGATCACAGACATGAACCATACAGCATATATTGATAGTACAACATACCACCAGATACTGTGGCACTAGTTACTAGCTATATAACAGAAACGAGCCCAATGTGTCAAAGACACAGTGTAGTGCAACCTGATAGTGCATGAAATTCACATGACGCAACAGTGGTGTCGAAAGGCAGCAACAACAATAACACAAACGCCATCATCAGACTCACGTATTGCAGTCACAATGCGGTAGCTGGTCGTGGCTGACATGATGGCAGTAAGCGAACATGGAGTGGCAGAACAACAGCACGATATGACAACGTAACAGGTTGGAGATGTTGTGGTGCTACAAAGCATACAGCATAGCAACATGGCAACATGTCGAGAAAGGATCATCAGATGACAACCGAATAACATCTCATGGAGAATTACATTTTGTGTGTACAAGTGTGAGGGGAGAATTACATTTTGTGTGTACAAGTGTGAGGCTGTATATATATATATATGTATGTATGTACACATACATACGTACATGCGCATCCAAGCAGTGAGACGCTGTCACAGTAAGACCAATGCACTGTAACGAAACAATGCCAAAGCAAACGGCCGAAGAAGCCTATGATGTAGACATGAAGTGAACTAGTGCAGTGGAACAACACGGACAGCAGCATACTAATGCAAATGGTATGTTGGTACGTCATAGGGTTATGATGTTGCACTGACACATATTGCAGGCCTAATTGCATAAGGCTGCTATGGCTGCATGAATTCGTACTCGTGAATATTATCATATTATCGCAACACCAGTACCATCCAAGCCGTGCCAAGTAGAAACCACAGTGGCAACGCCTGTCGATGGTTTCGCCGGAGCGGAAGAGGCAGAGGAAGACCTCCGCAAAACAGATGCTTCTGTCCTATGCGAAAGTAGGAATGCATCTAGTGCTTCCCATTTCAAGCTTTGTTTGCAGCCACGCTGGCAAAGCAGTTTCCCTCAAGAGTTCTCATGGCCGAAAGCCAGGAACAACGAAAAAGGCTGCATCGGTTCGGCCTGAGCATCTCTGTTCTTGCGTTGTGAAAACTTAAGGTTGCAAGACTTGGGTTGGGCGACACGTCTTTCCAGAACATGGACTCAGGGTTGTGAACACACGGCTTGTGCGGGGATGAAACTGGACCAGCCTTGAAGCCCCAAATCTAAAGAACCTCAAGCTCCTCCATGGAAGTTCACCAAGAGGACGCTACCGTAGCTTTGAGAGCTGCCGAGCGACGGGTTTGGGTCGAAGTCGAAATCATCCAACTCAACGGCCTAGCGCAGCTGGGGGGGGTGGCCTTGAGTGACTGGGGCTGGGTCTTCAGGCCCCGGGGCCGAACTCTGGCACCTAAGTTCGTTGCGCTGTTCAACAACCCTTCCGCAAAGACTCCAGCACCAACAGGCCATGCTTCAAGATTTAAGTGGCTTAAGGCTGACTTAAGGCTTAAATGCTTAACCTTCGGGGGCTAGCCGGGGCTTGACCATGGAGCTCGAGAACCTGCAACTGACGCGGATTCTCGGGGGAGGCAGGTTCTACTTGCCCTTCGAGGTGGCAAAACCTCAAAGTCGCGAACGCCGAGCCTCAACCAACTGAGACTTCACCCTAAGCTTGACCCAAGTGGCCACGGCACGTGGATCACGCCCTGTCCCTGGACGGGACCTGGCTCCCATCAGCACCTGCCGCCCGGTGCAGAAACAGCACACTGAACTGGAGATTCGAGATCCCACCTCACACTTTGCATGAGCTTGAGATAAAGCCCTTCGCCACCAACCCAAACCTCAAGGGCGTTTGAGCGCTGCGTGCTTCTTGCTAAATTCAACTAAACGGACCCGCGATGTTTCCTGCAAGTCTGCATGCCCTTTCCATATCCATCTAGCTTGCAGATACAACAGAAGACTTCGCTGAAAGATCCGCTTGGAAGTTTGTGTGCTAACCATGTGCTGCCTCGACAGAAGGCACCGAGGCGATTGAGACGCTGGTGCACGCACCAGACCCAAGAGCATCCCCCAGCACATCCCTGCCTGTGCCGTGGAAGGCTCGTTGACCAAGTCGAAATCGTCCATGGCTGCGCACCCCAGCTGGTGTCTGTATGTACGCTTGGGAGTAGAGGGCCTCCGAGGTTCAAGGATTTCCGTCTCGAGCCTGGGCTCAAGAGGCAGGGTGCCGGGACCTGTGAAAGTGGAGGCTTCGTATTCAAGTCCGCATGATGTTCGCACACTATGAGACACACCCGCAGCTATAATTCCTGGGAAGGCCGGATCTCCTTTGCTCCTTCTTTCAGACGTCTTCGGCTCCCAGGCGATGCCGTCTGCTTGGAAGCGTGAAGCCTACTAAGCCTGGCCTAGGGGGCTCAAGGTGAATGTGGCTTCGCAGCCATGGAAACAGCGCTTCGAGCAAGCGGGGGAAATCTTCCAAGTTGGCGCGACAAGGCCAAAATCTAGTGAGACCCTTATGCCAACGAGCAGCGTTGAAGATCCCCCTTCTTCTCAATCCTCCATTTCAGAAACAAAATTGTCCCTTTCGGCCCGCGCCAATGCCAAACTTCATGAGGTTCCGGGCCCCGCACCGCCTCCAGTGGCATTGCCTGAGGCTGTTGGGAATTGGACCGTTCTTGTAAACAGGTCCTCCTGCCTGCCCTGAGTTGTGCCACACTAACAATAACGAAAAGGTTCCTGCCATGAAAGACCCTGAAGCCTTCCAAGCGCTGCGCAACTCGAGATCCCACACCCGACCATCGAATGACCCGCCCACATCCCAGATGTCTCGGGGTCCCCACTCCGTCTTGGACGAGTTGCTGACTGAGTCAGCCCAGCAAGATGCACCTGACGATGATGAAGACCAGGCTCTCAGCAATGGCGCGGAGTGGGAGGAGGAAAGCGACCAGACCAGTCCTCGTGAGCCTGCGGCCTCGGGGCCCAGCCTGGGGCCCCGGCACCGTCACCTCTGTCGGCACCTTGCAGGGCCCTTGGGAAGAGCCGAAAGGACGCAACAAGATCCCTGGAGCCGGAGCAGCAGAGCGACCGAGAAAAAAGATTAGCGACAGGTTTTACCTTTCTCCTGCTGCTGCTGCTACTGCTGCTACTGCTACTGCTACTGCTACTGCTACTACTACTACGACTACGACCACGACTACGACTACGACTACGACTACGGTTCGGCTACGCGTAAGACTGTGACGACGAAGATGACGACGGCGACCACCACGATTGCTACGACTGGGCGCCTTGTAGCCGGCATACCCCATCAGACCCTTTCAACTTTGCCGTCAACATGGCACCATGCACGTTGATGACAACACCTGGGTCAGTAGCAAGCCTGCCTTCATCTCAGAGAGAGTTGACTGGAAGGACTTGCAGGGGTTCAGAGAGTTGTTGGGTTCGTGTTGTTTCCGGAACCACTCGTAGTCGGGAAGCTAACAAGACCCGAGTAAGCGACACTTCGACTATCGGAAATCCAAAATTCCAATTAGGGCAACGCAAACTGCAAAGCCTGTTTTCTATGTCTTTGCTCCCTCGTCTGCTTGCCGCGAGAACCTTTGTCAATCCATGACAGACTTTCTCAGCAAATCTATGCTGCCTTCTCGCCTGTCGGTTCGCTCTGCAAAGTCGAGTCCAACGTCAGCGAAGATCCCATCTGTCAGTTTACGAGCGGTCGAGTGCACAAGCTCCCTGTCGGCGCCGCCAGTTCTCAGGTGGCAGCATAGCCTGCTGGGATCGCGGCGATGATTGGCTTCGCGTCGAAAAAGCGCGAGGTGGGGACTTCCTGCTCTCCTCACTCCTGCCGACCCTGGCTGTCAAGCCGGGCGATCCACTGACTCTGCGCCTCCTCCCCTACTAAATCCAGTGCCGGATGTGGCCGGACCTGGAGAACGCAGGGCTTGAGTGTCGAAAGTCGATTGAAATGTCTAATGTCAAAGCTGACAAAAAAAACAACGGGAAAAGCATTGAAAAGCCAGACAAAAGCCGAAGCGCGATTCCTTTCTTCTGCAGCTGGACCTGCAGCTCCACTGAGCTCAAGGTTGAAAGCAAGAGGCTCGGAGAGTCAACGCAGGGACCCAGCGTTTAGGATTCGAGCTGGGGGCTTTCGGGGCTTAAATCATTGAGTTTGTCAAAATCTTCGCTGCACGAGCCCCCTGCCAAAATTCTGATGCCATCCTGTGGCCATGCATCGTGATAAGCAGAGCAACTCGTCGCACGAGGCTTTTGTCTCCCTGCCCTAGGCTTTACCAGACCCTCACACTCGAAACCAACAGCCCTAACGGCATGCCCCCAACAAAAACAATGCAAGCCTCCTGCCATTCACATGATCCATGAATCCGACATCTGGAACTCAGACCGGAAGCCCGAAGCCCCGCAACGGCAGAACTAATTACTGCTGCTACTTCTGCTGCTGCTACTAGATGCTGCTGCTGCCGCTGCTGCTGCTGCTGCTGCTGCTGCTGCTGCTACTACTACTACTACTACTACTACTACTAGTACTAGTACTAGTACTAGTACTACGACGACGACTATGACTATGACGACGACGACGACTACTGCTACTGCTGCTACCGCAACCACGGCGTGTACTCGTACCGGAACTATATTCAACTTGTCTTGAGCCTTTGTGCCATACTGTCATCATGCCTGCGACTGCTGAGACTGCTAAGCTCTTGGAACCGTTTGTGTCATCATTGCCCCGCCTCCACTTCGGCCAGCGGATAGAAGACGGGCCTTGCATGATAATGTTGACAAGGTTGATGATGGTGATGATAGTCATGATGCTGATGATGCTGCTGATGGCTGATGATGCTGCTGATGGCTGATGATGATGATGATGAGGACGATGATTGCGATGAGGAAAACAGTGATGGTGGTGATGATGATGATTATGATGACGACGAGGAAAGTACGTCAAGCCACACCACC